TTCTACAAAGCCTCGTGGGAAGAATGACATCATCCCCTCTCTTTCTCCGCAGCTGTCAATCAAAGCAGACAATGAGGTTGAAGGGTTACATCTCTCCTGATGGAGCAGCCTGTACCACTGTGTTGAAAAGAGAGCATGTCTAAGTGCAATATCACATTACACACACACTAACAGTTTTTACATAAAGTGTGTGTTCAAAATGTCTGAAGCCTCAGTGAGTGACTTGGAATGAGTCATTTTTCAGATAGCTGTTAAAAAATGTAATGAATATTATACTAAAACAGAAACTGTGTCATTTTCAGTATTGGGAGGGTTTTCTAAAAAAGTATTTAGTCGTAAAAATGCTAGCTACCAGTAAAAATCTAATCTGAGTTTCACAATATAAATGAAATGTAACCTGATTACTTTCCGTCACTTTTGGATAACCTCAATATCAAATGCAATGCAAATAAATCCAAGAGAAAAATATGTGTAAGTGTTTTCTTAACCCTTAGATGCAAGTGGGTCTTTTTGGACCCGGTGAGCTGGTTTTCTTGAAGTATCTTTGTAATTAAAACATTTTTAAATTTCATATTCCAGCTCTTCCTCAAAAAACATGTTTTGGATATCATGCCATTCACATTTTTTATTTACATTTTAAGAAATTGTAGTTTTTGTATTTCTACCCCGAGCTTCCATAAGTGGGTCAAAAATGACCCGCATGCATTTCTATGGGATCCTCTGGGAACCTTTGATTATTATCACCTGTTGCTGTCAGGAATACATTCACTGTGACACACACAGACGACATCACAAGTGACACCTCTCAGGAAGATTATTTTACACAGCAAGATCTGATACCTGGCAGTATAATAATAATACATTATATTTGAATAGGGCTTTTCAAGGACTCGACATCGCTTTACAATATAAGGGAAGGTTAGGGTGGGGGGTATAGGACTATCAAACTTGATCAACCGGCATGGATTGATGGGGGGAGGGGGGGCTATGAGTAGACAAGAGGAGAAGAGATGAGTTTTGAAAAGGGACTGGAGTACTGTGAGGGTCTCAGAATAGCGGAGATCTTTGCATCGATATGTTCAAAGCGTTTTTTTTCAAAATGTAATTTTTTTTCTAAAATTATAAATAGTGAAAAATTAAATATCAAATATTTCTAGTGTGAACCAAAATATAATACTAAATATTATACCAGTGATTTTTCTTAACCAAAATGGCATAAAAACACATTATTCTTTTTGACCCACTTATGGAAGAGTGTAGGGTCCAGTCACTCGTGCATCTAAGGGTTAGACAATAGAGCAATGTGACCTTAGACAAGAAGGAACCAAGATATTTAGCATCAAAATGTAATTAGATTTATAGGAAAACGTGCCTTTCATGAAGCATATTCAGTTTATACTCCAACAATGATACACATGAGCACATACTACAGTTTAAAAAGCAGAAATGCAATCTGAGATACACAGTTAAGCTCACACACACTATTTGACACCAGCTGAATTAAAAGCAGAACAAATGAAGCAAAGAAAGTGAAAACCATAAAGCAGATTCAGGTAGTAGAAGTATAGATTCACACTTAAAGTATTATCCTACAGAACAGCTTAAAGAGAAGAGATAACATCTGATCCTTTCACAACAAACACTATATGCTCTTTTAACATCCTGCTTGTAATCCACCATTTTTAGAAATGTAACAGTTATCTGATTAGTATCCTGATTAATCCGTTACACGTAATCCCGTTACACGTAGTCCCGTTACACGTAGTCCCGTTACACGTAGTCCCGTTACACGTAGTCCCGTTACACGTAATCCCGTTACACGTAGTCCCGTTACACGTAGTCCCGTTACACGTAATCCCGTTACACGTAGTCCATTACACGTAATCCCGTTACACGTAGTCCCGTTACACGTAGTCCCGTTACACGTAGTCCCGTTACACGTAGTCCCGTTACACGTAGTCCCGTTACACGTAGTCCCGTTACACGTAATCCCGTTACACGTAGTCCCGTTACACGTAGTCCCGTTACACGTAATCCCGTTACACGTAGTCCCGTTACACGTAGTCCGTTACACGTAATCCCGTTACACGTAGTCCTGTTACACGTAGTCCCGTTACACGTAGTCCCGTTACACGTAGTCCTGTTACACGTAGTCCCGTTACACGTAGTCCCGTTACACGTAGTCCCGTTACACGTAGTCCTGTTACACGTAATCCCGTTACACGTAGTCCTGTTACACGTAGTCCCGTTACACGTAGTCCCGTTACACGTAGTCCCGTTACACGTAGTCCTGTTACACGTAATCCCGTTACACGTAGTCCGTTACTCTATAAGCCTGTTCATTTTGTAAGGAGTCTTTACTGTTCGTCTAAAAAACTTCGGAGAGAAACTGTTTCTGGCAACTCTCAGCTGACGTTGGCTGATTTACAGTAAAACAAACACCGACAAAAATGCGTCTTGTCCTCAAAATGAACTCCCACTGAAGTCCTTCTCCTCTACAAGCTGAGTGAAAATAACTTCAAAGAGCAGAAACAATGTGCCGCCCAGTAGAGGGATATTTATACAGTGTGTATTCATAGTAAATGTCCTTGAGGAAAGATCTCACTTGTAGTGAAAAGTTGAATACTTGAATGAGTGCTGTACTAGCAGACAGGGACTTCCAGTGGAGATGAATGTGCTGCTTTCACTAATTAATGCAGACGCTTGTTTGGCTTGAAAGCTTTAACATCCAATTGAGTTGTTAAAGGGAATACAAACCATTTAAACATTTTGGATAGATCTTTGCTATTATTTCATAGCAGGAACAAACTCAAAAATTGAAGACAGACAGAAGAATGGTTCAGTAAAACAAGTTCCCGAGTAGAGTAATAGAGTGCCGCAGTGTTTTTAGACTTCCTGTCCTAAAAACAGGAAGTGAGTTAGCATTTTACCACTTCCGGTTCCTTCGCCAAAAAGCAATTAAATCTCTCCATAGGATGTTGGAGAATAGCTGGAACTATCAATCAATCATCAATCAATGTTTATTTATTTAGCCCAATATCACAAATGTTACATTTGTCTCAGTGGACTTCACAGTTTGTACAGAATATCAGTATGACAATACGACACCCTCTGTCCTTAGACCCTCACATCGTACAAGGAAACACTTCCAGAGAAAACCTAAGGTCTGTGGTCGAGACACATTGAAGAGACAGGTCACGTTTTGTTCTACGACATTAAATCCATCAGCAGTGACCCCGCTGGTGATTTCTGAAGAGTTGACGTGTCTGAAAAACGATGGTTGTTACCAAGTGGCTGAATAGGACTACAGAAGTCGTGGAGGCCGTTGTACGTCATTACGCCGAACACGTAAACACTCCTCTAAGTTAGTTTCTGTTCTGCTTGAAAGCAAGTCCCTGCCTCCTGCAGACTGTTCAAACAAACGCTTCAACTCGTACCATTTAGAATCTGTGTGTTTGAATATGGATCTTAAGTCGGCGTGACGTTGAAGCAGCGACCCTGCTGTAGTTCCTTTATAGCATAACGTTAGCATTTTGCTTCTGGTGACTAGATTTATGATTCGAAAATGATAAAAGTAGGGTAGACATGTGGAGATTATCCGGCTGAACAAAACGTGACCCGTCTCTTAAATGTGTTTCAACCACAGACCTGATTTCCAGCTGTTTTCCAGAACCCTACGGAGAGATTGCATTGCGTTTTTGTCGAAGGAACCGGAAGGAGTTTACTTCTGGGTTATAGGACGCGTCACTCTATGAGAGGTTAAAGATATTCATTGCAACTGAGAAATACCAATCAAGCAGGGAAATTTGACTTTATTGCGTCCTTTGTTTTTTTAAAGAGCTGGCGATGGAAGTTCGGATAGGCGTATACGGACGTTCTGCCATTTTGTGTTGCCCAAAAAAAAGTACAGCAGGGTTAAAATGTTAACACAAAGCTTAACCTAAAACATGCGACTGTGTTTGCATTGTGCTGTAATTTATAGACATTTCATACAAAATTCATTCATTTAATTGAACTTTTGTACATTTTGAGGTTCAAATTAAAACTGTCTCTTCTATTACTCTTCTATTCTTCTATTTTTTACTTACTTGTTTGCCTGTCCTTGTTTGTCTACCCTCCCTCATACTGTAAAGTGTCTTTGAGTTGTGAAAAGCGCTATATAAATAAAATGCATTATTATTATTATTACAAGTCAATATTTCTCTCAAAATATGAACCTATATGACGTTTGTATTATTGGACATGTCTTTTTGGACTTTACCCTGCACATGCCATTAGCCGCTTTCACACCAAGTACTTTGCCGTACTTAGTTCCCAGCACTTAGTTCCCAGCACTTAGTACCCCCATGGAACTAAAGAGCCGATCGCGTTCACACTGGAATAAGTTCCCTGAGGGAGGATTAGGCAAATAGAGCCGCTGACGTCACTTCTTCTTCTTCTGCTTTGGGTTTACTGGCAGGCCGCAAACCACTTCACGGCGTATACTGCCACCCGAAGTCCACGGCCGGAAGTCCCCGGAGTTGGAGACTGGCTTCAGTAGAAGCTGCTGGGACTCCCAGCAGCTTCTACTGAAGCCTTCCGAGTAAAGAACGCCGACACCTCCTCATCTCCACCGCTCCCATGTTTTTTTTTGTGTTGCCATAAGTTAGTCTTTCTCTGTTGGTGCGCTGGGCTAATGCTAATAATGCTAATGCCAGCAAATACAATGGCGGCTTCACAAAAGTTTTTCAGGGTTTTACGGGGCGTGGTTCGCCCAGCCAATCAGAAATTGGAACTTTTTTCTCCCCAGGAAAGTACGACCTCTAGCAGGCACTAAAAATGGGGGTAAAAGTTCTCATGAACTAAGTTCTCTCTTTGGTGTGAACGCAAAATCCCAGGAACTATCGGAACTAAAGGGGAAAAGTAGTCCGGTGTGAAAGCGCCTATTGCTAATTTCAAAGTACCTCAGTCCTCCGTGTACTTCCTGTTCTCTAATCTGTTTTCTTGTTTGTTTATTTCAGGGATCTGAACGGGAACAACCTGACAGCGATCACCAAGGCAGACTTCTCTGGTCTCAAACACCTCAGAGTCCTGTAAGTTTACTCATTCACCTACATATACATTTGTGTCTTTTACATGTCCATAGTATCGATAACATCTTTAAATCAACGTATTTTAATTCAAAATGTGCCTTTTACTTATCTACGTTTGGTTCGGAACATTCTTATATCTGTAAAATAAAGCGCTGTAAGCTTCTTTCACATCTGTCAGGGTCTTTGTTGACGGTGCAGCAGCTTGTATGTATTCAGCAGATTCTTTCCCACAATTCTTTGCTAGTTTTATGTGCGAGGAATGTGGGAGTCCTGGCTGTGGCGGCACCATCAGCAGCCAGAGGGAACAGAGCTCTGCAGTGACACCCGAGCCACCCAGAGGTGCTTGTCTGGTGTCAGTGTCAGTCAGATTTACAACAGGGAGGGGTTTATCTGTGACCTTTTCACCTGGAAACACAGTGCCCTGAGGGAGGGGCAGCAGTGATGGGAGTTTACTGTGTTTACCTGGGTGTCAGGGAGGGAGGACATTAAGGTGGAGAAAGGATGACATGCCGGGAAGTAATGACATCTCCTGAGGCTCAGAGCAGATTATCAGCATGCTGGGAGCCACCGGGTCGTTTCTGTCAGGAGGGGATTGAGTGTTACACCAGAGGTTTATAATGTGGAAGTCTACAGAGGGCTTTTACCAAACGTACAGATCCCAGCGGACACAGTGGGAGACACAATGAGTGATGGGGATTTGGGTTTCCAGTTTGATTTATATGAGGGTAAAGATGTATTTTTAAGTTTTAGTTTCATTTCTTTTTTTTTGCAAGGTGTTAAAAATCACCTTTTTTGTCTATGATATCACCCCAATACAGCTTGATGCTGCTGTTTGCTTTTATGGTTTTTACTAAATGGCAAATCGATGCCCACGTTTTTCCATAATAAGTAGCATTTTGTCGAATCAAGAATTAAATATATTTCTGCTAACATGGAACAACAAAATACATTTTTACTACATAAGGGAAACATGACAAAGCAGAAGCAGTAGTGCATTCCTGTAGGGATTTATTTTACATGCATTACGAGACATGTTAACAGATGCAACCAAACACTGTTTTATTCCTGGGAAGATAATCGACCCGTCATTTTAAGATCAAAAGTTAGAAAAGTGGGAAAAACTTTACATCTTTGGAATTTGAGCTTTAAGCATCATGATTTAAGTCACGAGTCCACATCCTTTTCTCACACTTCACATGTTCCTACCTTCATACACTGATGTCTGTTGTAATACATCCTGATGTTATACTTAGCTTAAAGTATTAGGGGTATTTGTGTAGGGAAAGTATGTAATGGCAAACTATTCAGCTATTATATATATAATTGTTGTAAAGTGTCCTTATTGCAAAGTCTTTTTATGTACAGCACTTTGGCTCGACCAAAAATCGTTTTAAAAAATGTGCTATATAAATAAATCTTGATTTGATTTGATATTATTATAAAAGGAAAAAATATATAATTTGACAAACAGCTATTCCATGAAATACACAATAATACATTAAGAATGAAAAAATAGAATCAATAACAAATAGATTTTGATGTTCTCCAAATTGCATTTATTCTCAATGTGTTTTAGTGTCATTTTAATGATTGTTTTTTAAATGTTGTTTGTCATTGCAGTCATCTGATGGAGAACCAGATCAGCAACGTGGAGAGAGGAGCTTTTGATGAGCTGAAGGAGCTGGAGAGACTGTGAGAGAACACACACTCACATTAATGTGCATGCATGTACGACACATGTCCACTGAACAGACTTTAACATTCATTTATCGATTGTATTTTTTGTTGTCCCTCCAGTCGCCTCAATAAGAACCGTCTCAGCCAATTTCCAGAGCTGCTGTTTCAGAAGAACGAACTCCTCTCTCGACT